CCCCGGGGCCACGTGCCCTGAACGTGACTCAGCGCTTTCCGGCGCCTCCCCGGCCGCCCGCCCGCGAGCTGGGCGGAGCAGAGACCCCAGTCGAGTGGTGGGACCCGGCCTCTTGCCATCTGGATCGAGGGCCCCGGAAGCGCCCCCAGCCGAGCCCTCCCCGCAGGCAGGGTGGATCTTTCCCTGCAGGCAGGGTGGGTCATTCCGGTTGGAGGACAGCTTCCGTCATTTGTGCGTTAACTCAAGGGCGCTGACCGAGAACCTACCGGAGGCAGCAGACCGGAAAGGACAGCCTGCCTCAAGGCGCTGACAGCCTGCCCAGGGTGCATCCAGTCCCTCTTGCTGGCTAAATCTGTAGATAAAAAGATAGTCCTCTTGGACGCCTATGGGCACTTAGGGTACAGGGCAAGCCTGTGGGAAACAGGCCACAGGAAGGACCAAGGGCTCTGGGCCTGGGCTCTCCCGGCAGGGGAAGCAGCATCACAGCCACCCAGGTAGATCAGGGAGGCCTTGGGAGGCACATTGGTATGGCCTGGAATTTGAAGTTGAGAAGAAGGACCCCAGAAAGAGGGTCTAACTAGCCTTATAGAAGCTGGGAAGTAGGGAAGGGGTGTCCAGAGAGGACAGTTGAGTTTGAGTTTGGCGGGGAGTGGCCTTGGGGACCATCAATCAGCTAAGGGTGGACTGGATTTGGTGACAAGCTTCTGCGGGGTGGCCTGAGGCAGGGACACGAGGGAGCAGGCCACCGGACCCATCTGGGGGATAACTAGAGTGCACGCGGGAGAAGGCAATGAGAGAAAGTGGGCTGGTTCGGGTGGTGGAACACAGAGGGGACTCTACAGCTGTTAGCCAGGGCACAGGGGACACAGAGGATGCCTGCCTGGAGCTGGCTAAGGGCCAGATCTTTCCCTGAGGCTGAGGACTGACTGATGGACCCTGCCTCTGTGGTGGGAAACCAGGAGGTCTTCCTCCCTAACCCTATGCTGCCTTGAGGCAGGGGATTGAATGAGGTGACCCTGCCTTGGGGGTCCCCGGTGCACTCTTGGGACCCACTTGCTCTTGCTCTGAGCATTTGGTCTTCTGTATGTACGTGTCCTTCACACCCAGGGAAGGGTCTTCCCATCTGTCTGAGATCCACTGAATGAATGAATGAATGAATGAATGCATGCATGAATGAGCAGAGAGAAGCCAGTGACAGATGCACCTGTTTCTCGGTGCGCATTACCTGCCAGACACCACACACAACCACGTCCTCAGTGGGGGCTTTTTAACAAGGTCAAGGAGGGGGGCTAGGGTGGGAGACAAGGCCCAGGGTTCCCGAGGGCAGGCAGGACGGACCCGAGCTGTCTGTCCCCTGGCTCCCCACTGTCTCCCCAGCTCAGCGCTCTGACTGCTGGATCTGGCAGAATTGGAGAACTGGGGCACCGCCCGTCCGCCCCCTCCATCCATGCCGCTACACTCTGCTGAGCACACGCCATGTGCCACTCCTGACTCTTGGCGGGTGCCGTGGAGAACCGGGCACTGCCCCTGCGCTCCC